TTTAGGTTTGTAGGGTCTATACCTGGCTGTGTTTAGGTTGTGTGATGACAATATTGTAACCATGACTGATTCCTATAATGCCAACCCGGTTTGTGTTGCTCCTGTGAAGCTTTACCTGTGGGATACATTGACAGAGATGATCCCAACCAGGGCTTCTTAGCTGTTTAACAATAGTGGTGAGCAGATGAAAGCCATTTCCCACCAGCGCACAGCGATGCATTCAGGCTTCACTGGCACTTCTCCATCTCTTTCCTTCAGATGTGCTATACAAATAAAACTGAACTGAGTTGAATACTTCAGGTCACAGTGACATCATAGGTCTCTCCTGTACCTTACACTGAACTTCACAGGAGTTCTTCTGTAGACCGCAGTGACGTCAGCAGAGCTCTGGTGTAGCTCACAAAGTAGTCGCCACATGTTTGCTGCAGCTTACAATCACATCACTAAAGATGTAGATTTGAGGGACATCATGAGTTACAGTGCAGCTGTCAATAGAACCGCTAGATTTCTGCTGCTGCTCTCAGTAACATCACAAGTTCTGCTGTCGATCACAAGGACACCAGTAAACTCTGACTGTACCTCCCAGTGACATGAATTCCTCACTAGTGTTCTCCTGCAGCTCACATTGGTGTCACTGGAGTTCTTAAAAAGTCCAAGTGACTTCTCTAATGTTTCCTAGAGCTCATCTGTTGTCCTCTTGTTCTAATATCTGCCCGCTACGTGGTGCCGGTGAGGACGTCCCATGAGTCTTTGCTCTATGATGAGACACAACTGCTCCTCCATAAAATGCAAAACAGGAAAACATCAAATAGCTTTGTTTCCAACAAAAATAACACTTAAGCTCCTTTGCAGCATAAAAAAACCACATCCAGGCCTTTTATTCCCCACAGTTTACGTTTTGAAGCGCTCAAAGGTTTGGTCTTCAGATCATAGATTTCTTTGTGTTTTGTTCTCTTGATAGGATGAAATCCAGAAGATGCAAAGACACACGTCCAAAACTCTAATGCATACGAACATAAACAGTTTTTAATCAGCAGTTTCCCTAAGGTTCTACCAAAGGGATCAAAAAAGTTCTATCCATCCATCCATCCATCCATCCATCCATCCATCCATCCATACCAGTCTCCTGTTGTTTTGTTTCCACTGTCTCATACTGGATTAGTATGAGCTGGTGGGTGAGGAGACAATATTAACATTTATAAAGAGTAGGTTAGTCATATAAATGTCTGAGGCTGAAATGTGATATTTGCCTTTAATAAAAACCAAATGTAGTCCCTACCATCCATCTCTCTTCCTTCCTGTCATTATTTAATGAATCCTGTCTCCTTGTGCTGCAAATCCAGCCACCTGGAACAGAGCTCCAGGTCTGGAGTCAGGAGAGAGCTGCTGTCCTCTGATGGTCTCAAGTCTGCTTCAGTCTCTCCACTGATGCTGGTGTTACATCTGGATTGTTTGGATGTAAAAAAGTATAAGAAAAGTGTGCAAAGCTTTTAGAAGCACCTTTTAATAAATTCAATAACAGTCTGTTTTTTTTTTCCAGGGAGAAGCTCCAAGGCGAGCACGCTCACCTCCTGCAGAGCTCCTCCATCACTCAGGAAACAGCGGTCAGTCAGAAGAAGCTGCTGGAGCAGACCGTTGGGAGGCTACAGGAGGAGCTGAGCACGGCGAGGAGAGCGGAGGAGGCGCTGAGAAAAGACCTGGAGGCTTCTAGAAATGAGGTACTTTCAGCAATGCTGTGATTTGTGTGATGGATAATGTTGCACCAAGAAATACAACAACACTCTTGTTTATGTGTCTCTGTCTTCAAATACATCTTCTGACAGTTCTGTCTGCTCGCCACGAAGCTGGAGGCTGAAAAACGTGCTCTGGCCACGGAGCTGAGGGAAGCCAGGGTAGGATTAGTCAGAATGCTGTCCCACCTGTACGTGGTGTTTAATCATCTGCTGGTGATGGCATTGACATCTGTCCATGTTGGTGTCATGTGAACCTGTGATTGGCAGCGAGAGGTGGGATCTCTGAGCTCAGCCCTGCAGAACCAGCAGGACGAGAACTGGAGGCTCATGGGAAAGGTGTCTGCTGTAGAGCAGCAGCAGGTGAGAGACAGTTATCTGCTGCTGTCATCATTTCTTATGTATACAAGTCAGTGAGTGGTGCCAAACACTTGACAGAGAAGCTCAGATTGTCTCTGTGTGTTCTGGGGTTGTATCCAGAATGCAGTGCAGCATGTTGACCAGATGCTGAAGGATCCAACTGACAAGAACAAGCTGGATAACGAAAAAGGGAAACTGAAGGTACAGCACAGACACATGAGAGATCAGTGTTGGATTCTCATTTTGTGTATGAATTGTGTTGCAGGTTTTGTAAAGCCTTAGAAAACATCGTGTCCAGCTTCCTGAAAAAGGCCTCAGTAGGTGTAACGAAAACGCTGTCGGCAGTAAAACTCAGTCGTGACTGGAGGCGACCAGGAACCAGGAACCTTTCACACCGACACACCGACAGCACAGTTGTTGTCACAGCGGATTGTGTTGTTTCAGACCCGTATAGCAAACGCTGTGATTATAGGAGCTTGGAAGCAAATGCAGATTTTAGCAAGAACTTCCATCCATCCATCATCTCTACACCTTAATCCTCAC